ACATCAGTTGTACCATTAATGAAGACATCTGAACTGCACTGTACATCAATTATATTTGATAATGAAAGAACGGCATGTACCATACAGTACATGGTTGTAACGATAATAGAACATCTGTACTGCTGCTATGCTGCTTACATCAATTTATATTTGATAATGAAACATCTGTACTGTACTATGCATCAGTGTAACAATAATGAGAGACATCTGTGCTGTGCTTGGTTGTAACATTAATAGAGACATCTGCCTGTACTGTGCATCAGTTCGCCAGCATTAATGAGACATCATACTGTGCTGTGCTTCGGTTGTAACATTATTGAACATCATGCTATCTTTATGCCAGCCACATCGGTTGTAACGTTAATGGGGACATCTAACACCTGTGCACCAACCGCATCGGTTAACATTAATGAGAACATCTGCTTGCTGTACTGCTTACATCGGTTGTGGCGATAATAGAACGTCTGTGCTGTGCTGCTGCTGTGCATCAGTTGTAACATTAATGAGAACATCTGTGCTGTACTGCCACTGTGCATCGGATTATATTTTTGATGACCAAGAGACATCTGTACTGCTGCCAACTGCATCGGTTGTAACAACATTAATGAGGGACATCTGTGCTCATGCCAACCGCATCCAGCTGTATAACATTAATGAGACATCTGTATGCTGCTGTACTGTGCTTCCGGTGTAACGTTAATGAGGGACATCTGTACTGTACTGTACTGTGCATCGGTTGTAACGATTAATGCAGACATCTGTACTGTACCCAACCATCAGTTCATAACATGGACCGAGGACATCTACTTCTGCTGCTGTACATCGGATGTAACATTAATAGGAGACATCACTGCTGTACTGCTGTGCATCATGTAACATTAATGAGACATCTATGCTGTACTGTACATCAGGTTATATTAACGTGTCAGAGAACATCTGTGCTGCTGCACTGTGCATCAGTTGCGCTTGATAACCAAGAGACATCTGTCACTGTCACTGTACTGGCATCCCAGTTATTAACATTGACAAAGAGCATCTGTGCCTTACTGTGCATCAGTTATAGCATGATATTGAGACATCTGTGCTGTGCTGAACATCAGTTCAACATTAATGAGGACATCTGTGCTGTACTGTACTGTGCATCAGCTGTGTAACATTAATAGGAGACATCTGTGCTATACTGTGCATCTGGCTATTAACATTAATGAGAGACATCTGTGCTGTGCTGTACACATCAGTTATAACATTAATGAGACATCTACCATGCACCATACTGTACATCAGTTGCTGCTTTGTTAATAAAGGGGCATATCTATCTGTACTGTACATCAGTTGTAACATTAATGAGAGACATCTGTACTATACTGTACATCAGTTATGTTTTGATAATGAGACATCTGTGCTGCCCTTGCATCAGTTGTAACGATAATGAGAGACATCTGTGCTGTGCTGCTGTACTATACATCAGTTATATAGCCAGACATCTGCTGCACTGTGCTGTACATCAGATTGTAACATTAATGAGGACATCTATGCTATGCTGTACGTCCAGGTATAACATTAATGAGAGAGACATCTGCTTGCTTTTGCTGTACTGTGCATGTTTATAACATTAATGAGAGACATCTGCTGCTGTGCTGTGCATCAGTTGCCAACATTAATGAGAGACATCTGCTGTGCTGTGCTGTCCATCAGTTGTAACATTAAGCCAAAGGGAGACATCCTGTGTGCTGTCACTTCAGCTGCTGCTTATTGGCAGGGGACATCTGTGCTGTACTGTACTATACTGTACATCAGTTGTAACATTAATGAGGGAGCAGCATCTATTGTACTGTACATCAGTTATATTTGATAATGAGAACATCTGTGCTGTGCTTCAGCTGTAACATTGTGGGGACATCTGTGCTGTGCTGTGCATGATTTGTAACATTAATGAACTTTAATACTGTACTGTACATCAGTTGTGGCAACATTAATGAGGACATCTGTGCTGTGCATCGGTTGTAACGATGACAGGGACATCTGGACTGTGCTGTGCCTTAGCCAGGCTGTAACATTATTAGAGGACATCAGTGCTGTGCTGTACTGTACATCGGTTGTAACGTTAATGGGGACATCCTATGCTGTGTACCTTGGCCATCAGTTCATAACGATAACCAGAGACATCTGAACTGTGCTGTACTGTACATCAGTTATAACATTAATGAGGACCTCTGTACTGTACATCAGTTATATGGCATTAATGAGACATCTGTACTGTGTACTGTACCTTTTTACCATGCATCCAGTGCCAACGTGTGAGGAGACATCTGTGCTGTACGTCAGTTACTTAACATTAATGAGGACATCTGTACTGTAGTTGTAACATTAATGAGAGACATCTGTACTGTACTGTACATCAGCTGTAACATTAAAGAGGGACATCTGTACTGTACTGTACTGTACATCAGTTGTAACATTAATGAGGGACATCTGTACTGTACTGTACTGTACATCAGTTGTAACATTAATGAGGGACATCTGTACTGTACTGTACTGTACTTCAGTTATAACATTAATGAGGGACATCTGTACTGCACTGTACATCAGTTGTAACATTAATGCGAGACATCTGTACTGTACTGTACTGTACATCAGTTGTAACATTAATGAGGGACATCTGTACTGTACTGCACTGTACATCAGTTGTAACATTAATGAGACATCTGTACTGTACTGTACTTCAGTTGTAACATTAATGAGGGACATCTGTACTGTACTGTACTGTACATCAGTTGTAACATTAATGAGAGACATTGTACTGTACAGTACATCAGTTGTAACATGAATGAGAGACATCTGTACTGTACTGTACTTCAGCTGTAACATTAAAGAGGGACATCTGTACTGTACTGTACTGTACATCAGTTGTAACATTAATGAGGGACATCTGTACTGTACTGTACTGTACATCAGTTGTAACATTAATGAGGGACATCTGTACTGTACTGTACTGTACTTCAGTTGTAACATTAATGAGGGACATCTGTACTGCACTGTACATCAGTTGTAACATTAATGAGGGACATCTGAACTGTACTGTTCTGTACATCAGTTGTAACATTAATGAGGGACATCTGTACTGTACTGAACATCAGTTGTAACATTAATGAGGGACATCTGTACTGTACTGTACTGTACATCAGTTGCAACATTAATGGGGGACATCTGAACTGTACTGTACATCAGTTGTAACATTAATGAGGGACATCTGTACTGTACTGTACATCAGTTTGGTATAAATACCAAAAATAAAATCCTTGCGGCACTTAATGTTTCAGCTATTACAACACAATAGCTGTGTTTACAGCTGATTCACCAGGCAAGAAGATGACGGTGGCAGTGCGTGTGATGGAGGGTGAGGGAGAGGGAGGGGGTCTTGAGAATTGCAATTAAATGCCAGGTAGCAACGTGTCCTCCTAATATTACTTATTAAGTAATTATTAGATGTTTTAATTGCCTGTATGTTGGCCTGGCGAGTTAAGCATGTTAAGGGTCGGAATAACGAGGCTTTGTGTCACCGCGCCTTCACCAGCTGCAAGCAGGCAGAGAATGAATCCTTTGACGACTTTTTTGTACGCTTGAAGAGTTTGTTAGAGGAGATCGACGTCTGCAAGGCGCACAGCCGGGAATGTGAGGAAGCCTGGATCAAGCACAGGATCTTGGCAGGTGTCAGGCAGGAAGAGTTGGTGCAGCGACTCATCCCCCTGGACGCTTCCTCCACACTACAGGTGGTAGTGACTGAATGTCGGTCGTACGAGGCCACCAAGTCCGCCACCTCTGCCTTACGGGCCCCACCTGCTGTGAGAGCTATCTCACAATACAAGAAGGGTAAGAAGGCGGCCAACAACGCGAAGGCTGCCACACGTTCTTCCACGCCTCCGCCTAGTGCTTCCTGTGGTAGCTGTGGAAAGCAGCATGGCCCCATGACATGCCCGGCCGCCGACGCACTGTGTCGTGGATGTGACCGTAAGGGCCACTGGTCTAACACAGACAGGTGCCCTGCACGGGGCCGCAAGTGTCAGGCCTGCGGTCGCTATGGACACTACGACAAGTGCTGCCGCCAACCCAAGCCCAAAACCCCGAGACGAGGAGGAAAGCAGCTCACTTCCCTCGGGGTGGTTCGCACGCAGCCCCCTCCAGATGGCCCACGCAGCCCCAAGCAGCAGCGGAGTCACATCAGGAGGGTGGAATCGACCACACGCCCCAGGGCTACCCCTTCCCCCACCATCCGCGTCGCCGTCACACACGGTGATGTGTCGGGTCACATCGAGGTGATACCGGACACCGGCGCTGATACTACGGTGATTGGGTTGAAGCACCTCCAGAAACTGGGCCTCACCAAACGCGGCCTGGGACCACCGCCGCAGCTGCTGTACTACAATGCAGACGGTTCCCAGATGCCGGACGCTGTGGGCTCCTTTCAAGCGGAGATCACTTACGGCGACAGGTCGTGTCACGGATGGATCGACGTGCAGCCTACTCTCGCTACACCCTTGTTGTCGTGGGAGCACCTCAAGGAGTTATGCATGGTGCCCAGAGACTTTCCCGAGCAGGTCCCAGCTGCTCGTTACACCGCCAGCAGGGTGCGTGAGTTAACGAGCGACGCGCCTGGCGCTGCCACACACAGCTGCCCAGAACCCGCGTCCACTCCCACCCACACAGGACGCTCCCCTGCCCAGATCCTGTATGGTCACCCTCTCCGCTCTTACGTTCCTGCACACGCCAAGGCCTTTGCGAAGGACTGGCAGACCAGAGCCGAGAGCTGCGACCGCCGCGCCGCTTCACGTGCCCAGGACGCCAAGGCTCGGTATGACGACCGTGCCCGCCCTCTTCAGCCACTGGAGATTGGTG